CCATTTTAAGAAGAGTAACCCGCCTTATCCCCAGTTGTGACTTAAGCATCAACTCATACCCTGAGGTAGGCACCAACCACTTCCCCCAACGTGCCCCATACGATGAAAATCGAAGCAGACGATGGCTCACCCACAGTAGCTCTTCAGCCCTACGGACTACGAGTTCATACCGCATCACAAACCAGCAAACCACCCACCAAAAACAAAGAGAACGGTCTGTCACAGTCAGACAATATGTTCCACACATGCTGCCGCTCACACTAAAGACACAACACAGCCACGTAGCGAACGCCCCGACCACTGCCGCTCCACCCGACCCCACAAAACCGCAACAGGGTGTATATGGAATAACTTGAAATCCATTTCCTTTTCAGATTCCCTTCAGATGTCCCAAGAAAAACACGCCCTGCRTTCAAGGGATGCCAGAAGCTAGATTGGTAACAAAYGCGAACGCTCCGACCACCTCTGACGAACCACTTCCCGACCCCGTGCTATCTTTCGTACCCCTTGGCTCAATTCTCTCCTTTGCATCATACTGGCCCAACAAAGCCCCCGTCGCTTTTCTTGATTTCATGTGCCTTGTTTAGGCCCCCATTTTTCGGAGGTTCTACTGATTCTTGGAATTCTGCTTTTTTGTAATTTGGGAAATGCATGGGAAATTACGCGCGCCTTAGCGAGCGCACTGGGAATCGGCCTCAACGGTTAGGAATTCCGGAATAAGCGGAACCCGACGTGTCTTTTTCTTTGCATGAATGTTCTCGGTCACATCGGGGAAAACTCTAGGAATTTTGTGAGAATACGGATAGTTGGTGTTTTTTTCTCTTGTTGTCGGCGCTGCGCATGTGAGCTTCCTCCTCCTTATTTCCCGCGTCATCCTTCCCCCGCGCTCTCTTTTCTCTCCCTTCCCCCTCCTCTTCTTCTCCTATCGCAACTGTTTTTCCCTCTCTCTAATCTTTGCGCACCTGTTTTCCTTTCTTGATCATCTGAATCTTAGACCCGTCTCGCGCTACTTTTTGCGCTTCTTTCCTTCTCGGTCTTCAACCTTGGCTCACGAAACCCGGTTGATCCTTCGATTACCCCCGCTCACCAATCAGACGCGTTGAGCAAGAGGATCTTCCTGCTGCGCAACGAATCTGATTGGCTGAACATTGAGTTTCGAAGGATCAACATGGCTTCCCTTGAGCACCCCTCGCTGAATCTTCTCCTCGTACACCTCGATTTCCCCTCTGTCTTCTCCCCCGTCTGTCTTCTTTTTCGCAACTATAAATTCTGCAAGCCCGCCCGCAAATCTCTCTTACGTTTTTCACTCGCAAGCCAGCTTCCGGGAAGCAGTGGCTAGGTGATGCGTTTGGTGCGAGTCGAAAAGTCCTGACGGACTGACTGTAGGCTGGCCGGTTTCGCACTTGATCGCCATGACGGACTGTGGGATCCGGGCAGCCGTGTCGAGCTTGCGTCAGCGAGGTGACGATCGCAGCGGCGGAAGTTAGCACGCGACGGCCGGGATCATCGGTGCGGGTATGAGGATCGGTAATTGGAGTTGAGTGGATGATTGGCCCAGGGCCATATTGGAATTTCACGGCGAATGCGCGTTCATGGTTGCGGATCATTTTTTTTTGTGTAAGTTCATGGCTGTGAAGCCGAACGTTCCCTTGTCGGATTCCAGTGTCTCCTATCTCGACACTTCTCACCCATCTCTCCTCTTTTCCTTTCTGCTCTGTATGACGCTGTGTTATGAGTCTGTCTCTCCTGTGAACCGAAGTAAGTCCTTGTGATTTCTAGCGCAGAAGAACTTCTTCCGGAACTCTTCCATTAGTTTCCTTGGTAATCCCCGGATGCAAAAGAAGTCAATCATCTTGTCTTGTGAACGGTGGATGCGTGTGTACAATCCGCCGATTTATTTCTGATTTGTGCACCATTGTCAATTTCGCCCCTTCCACAGTGGATGTATGCATAAGAATGCTTATATGTGAGTTTTTGTGTTAATTAGTCCCAGAACTCGACGGGATTTTGCTCGAGAATGCAAGAGTGTTTAGATCTGTCGTTCTGAATACACTGCGCATGCCATCTTCGTTATACTGCACGACATGTGCAGACAGTCTATGGGGCAGCCTCGAAAAAGCCAGGTGCCTCGGATTTTTGTCGATCTGGTCTGCTGAACCTGAGTCGTGGGTTGATCCCTCGAAACTCCACCCCGATTATTGCATGGTTGTACGGGCTCTATAAGATGTTTCCCTCGTGTTGAAAGGAAGAAAAATGTGAGTTCGTTTTTACGATTGTGCTTTTTGATGACATCCCAGGGTTTTTACAAACTCATTCCGATTGATTAACATGTGGACTGACAGGCGTACCTCGATCGGGCGCCAGCCTCCTGTATCTCCCTCCCCAACGCGCCCCTTCCCTTACAACGAGGAAATGACACGTGTTTGTGAGTGGGACGTGCGAGAAGCTGTCGCACGGATCGGCGGACGATACTACTTCCCTCCTGAAAATCGTTGTTCTGGATTCCTGAACTCAGGCTTTGTCATTGTCGATACGCACTACCCGCCTTACTGAGTAATATTGCCATTTAACGAGCTGATCGTCATTCCGTGGACGGCAGGGGCGCCCAATTGGCCTCAAACCCTGTGCACTGAGTGCCAGCATTTCGATCGCTACAAATCAAAGGGATTCCACTACCGAATACGGAGTGAAGACGAGCACAAGGAAAGAGCCACGCGGCTAAGACCCTCCACGTCGGACTCGGAACTGGCCAACGAGCGACGTCGGGACTTGATACGGAAACGGGACACGCGGAGTGTACCGAAGCCCTTCCACTCTAAACGAAGATCCATGGCGAGGTGGGAAGTTCGACAATAGTTTTTGGATTGACTCAGGATTTTTCTCTTTTCGCGCCGCTCCTGCGCGCGCATTCTGCGATGCGCGAAAGCAACCGACTTACTTCATCGGGCCAACACGGGGGATTTCAGTTCTGTCTATGTCCCCACACTCAATTTTCCAAAAATCCTTGGCACACCCCATCTTGTTGTTTTATTGGGCCTTCTTTCCGCACCCTTAGCACTCCGAACAGAAGACAGCACAGGGCGTGAGGTTGGTATCGGATCCGACACGTGTCGACGGTGTCGGTTCTGATGATAGTAAGCCGAACTGGCGAGAGGTAGAAGAAGCCCTCAACCTGCTTGCCGAGATTACCCGGTGACTAGATCAAGATCTAGCGAAGCTACACCAGCTATGCCAATGGCCGACGGCAACGCAGCACCCCCTAGGGTGATTGTAAGTATTCCCGCTGCTTTTCCTTTCTTTCCCAATCACACCCACCCTGAAGCTTGGTTGGAAGCCGTCCAAGCTCAAGGTTATAACGCGGACGCGTCATCACCTTGCTCCTTCGCAACACGACGCATGATTGGTTTAGGAAACACAGATGGATATATTGGAATACCTTCAAGCGAGCGTTTTTGGCCAGATTCGCTACGGTCAGCGAAGACGCTGCTTGGTACGTACTCAAAACTCGTCCGCAAGAACCAGGGGAATTGTTGCCTGACTTCGTGGATCGATTCCAAACTACGTTGGACAAATCAGGGCGAGATGAAAACTCCGCCCGAGATTTGTTCATCGATCATCTACGAAATCCGACGCTAAAAGCTAAACTACAGAAAAAGGTTCCCCCTAAAACGAACCAGTTACCCGCTATCATCGCAAAAGCGCTTGAGTTAGACCTTACGGATACAAAGAAGTATATCAGTCAGGGAGACAAGGACATTACAGACACGATTCAGGATGTAGCGGCGAAACGACGATCGTGGTTGTAAGCGGTAGAACGATTTTATCCCTGGCCTGATCATGACCTCCCCGAAGGGGTCGCCTCTGATATCCCATCAGCTCCTTTTCCCCCTCCTCCGACCCTCTCTATGAACCAACCGATAGCAACTGTTAGCCCCAGAAGCACCCGAGACCCTGCCTCTATGTCCATAACCAATATGCATTTCGCACAGATGATCCATACAGCTACTAGCAAACAATCCGAATGGATGAGCAATCTGGTGCAAATGCAGGCGGCTCACATGGATCGAATGGAACAGATAATGAGCAGGCTAATTAAGCCCAACCCGGCCCCTGCTCAACCTGCCCCTGCATCGTTCCCGCTTTTGCCTGCCCCGCCTGCACCTGGACATGCGCCACAGTTCCCTCATGCAGCTAGTCTGACAGGGAAGATCGAGTGTTACAATTGCAAACACCCCGGGCATTTTGCTCGGGACTGTCCGCAGCCAAAACGAAATCAGCCCCCACCTGCAGCAGCCCCCGTAGCTCTGAATCAAGGACGAGTAGCTGCACTAATGGATACAGCCCGAAATGAGGAGATCATTGCGTACACCCCTGAGCGATCTCCCCCCTCAATTGCAGTTGCATCGACCTCAGGGACTTCTTATTCCGAAGCCGCTGACGTGGTTGACCCGGCCGAATACCTTCATCTCGCCGGCATGGTCGGAGTAATCCAACCGGCTCATAACGATCTTGAATGGGTCGAGCGCGAATCTAACCCCGGACCACAGTTTCGGACAGAAGAAATAGATGTCTTGCGAACGCTTAAGCAACTAGACATTCGCGTTCCAGTCCCAGTGGGACATTTGCTCACCATATCCAAAGTTGCAAATGACAAGCTGCTGCAACAATGTCAGAAGAATAAAAGTGCTTTACATACCAGCGCTATTGTGGGTCCCCTCACGAATCTGTTGAAAAAGGATCAACCGTTGATTTGGATGCCAGAGTGTGATCAAGCGTTTTCGAAACTCAAGGCCGCTCTTATTTCGGCTTCGGTCCTTATAAGGCCGGATCCCGAGAAGCCTTTTGTCCTCATCACAGACTGGCAGCCGAAGGCAATCTCATCGATATTGGCCCAGGTGGGACCAGGCGGGCTCGAATGCGTGGTGGAATACGCATCTAAGTCGGTGCCTGCTTGCAAGCGCAATTACGCCGCCCCGACAGGAGAATGCTATGCAGCTCTGTGGGGGATCAGTCACTTTTGAGCCTATCTGTATGGGCGAAAGTTCACGCTGGTCACCGATCATGAGCCATTATTAGCCCTGAAGAAATCTAAGGATTACTCGGGCATAATCAGGCGATGGGCGACGGTGCTGCAGAGGATGGACTTTGACATTCGTCATCGGAAGCACGAGAGGCACGGGAATGCTGACGGGTTGACACGACTGCACCGACCCGAGAAGGTCCCCAAGAGCGAGGAAGTGATTCCTTGGAATGAGCCAAAGGATGAGAACGGACCGCGGTACGGGCAAGTGGAAATTCTGTCGAAGGAGTGAGTGACACGGGGCTTTTGCTTTACCCTTTCAGCAGCCCTGCTCTCTCTCTCTCTCTCTTTCCCCCCCTCTCATCATGGCTACCCCACATGTCTCTGCGACCCCTTCTTCCCCTGCTGATTCCGCCCCTCTCGCCTCCTCGACCTTCTTCGCCACCCTTCCCGATAAATTCTGGTATTTTTGTACGTGTATTACATGGGTTTATGGGGTGGGCTGTCATCCTTTTGAGACTGGATTCGTTGATTAGGTGGAGTGTGCCACGTATTTCAATCGTGCACACGGTGCATGCGTTCGATACCGAACAAATAGTAGGGAATGGAAGTGCCCTCTGTGTAGAACGGACAAACTCCCTGAATATGACGAGAAATACCGACGAGCGGAGGTCTGGACAGATAAAATTTTATTAGCTAAATTGGTTGGTTTACCATTGGATCATCTCACTAAGCACGACAGACGTCGGGCTACCGAGAGATCCCGGGATTACCGATGGATCAACGGTCACCTGGAAAAGCGTAAAACTGACGGATCGGTTTGTGGTTGACGGTTCCCCATCCATTCCAGAGATATGATTGGACCCGATCTGCTCAGAAAGAGCAGGCCGCCCACTTCGCGATACGTGTCACTGAAGCAACTATAGATCAGAATCGATGGTTCTGGTCTAATATACGGGACGCTGTCAGATACGTAGTCGCCAACTGTCTGGTTTGTGCCGCCGATCGTGCCCCAATACGGGGACCAAACACGATAGTACCGACAGGAGTAGAGCGCCCTTTCCAGCGAGTCGGTATGGACACAACAGATATTGACCTGCCATCTGGCCCAAACCGTTGCGAATATTCTATCCTTTTAGTTTTAATAGATCATTTTTCCAAATACATTGAGGTCTACCCCTGCAAGACCCGTAAGGCCGCAGAGATAGCCACGTACATCGATCGGTTCCTCTAAACCCACCTAGATACGGAAGAGATTCTAACCGGCAATGGCTCCGAATTCAAAGGCGAGGTGGAGGAGTTGCTCGCACGTCGAGGCATTACACTTCGACACACGGCACCCCACGTTTCCCAGTCGAATGGGTTGGACGAAAATGCCAATCGCATGATTAAAACTGCCCTTCGTAGAAATCTAGCGGCGCATGACACGCGTCCGTGGCCCGAGATCGTATACCAAATCGTCGGAATTCACCGGACCACCCTCACGAATCCACGGGGTTCACCCCCTTTCAGCTTCACACCAATAGCCTCCCATGTGTCGATTACCAGGGCAACTCGAAAATTGCCGAAGCAGGGGGTAGAGACACGCGTGCCGCCCTTAAAGCCAAGGCCAAAAGGTACGCCGATTTAATGGAAAGGGCCGTCCCGAACCTAGCCCGAAATAGACAGAAAATGATTGATCTAGCCCATAAGAGGCAAGTCCGTAGCTACGAGGCCCGAAATGGGAACGCCGGTTCCCAACATCAATATAAATTAGGGGACCTGGTGCAGGTACGTAAATGTGCAACCGGAAACTCGCTCCCAAGTTCTCTGGTTGTTTCCACGTTCTCGAGATCAGACCCAACAGTGCCAATACGGTGCGCCTTGCGCCCGAGGCCAGCGCCAGCCATAGCTCTGTCCCCATCTTCCGCCATACCTCTTACATCCGTCCCCTCCCTCCTTCTGATCTCCCTCCGTCTCCCTCGTCTGCTGAAAACGAGTACGACGACGATCTAGCTCCCACCTCGTTCTCTCCCTCTTGTTCCCATCTCTCATCTTCTTCCCCGTCCTTGCCATGAGTTTCATCACGGAGCAAGCTCTTGGCAATCATCTGTTGCTGCCACGTGGCTACATCTCGGAGATCCGACAAGTTCGTCATCTGCAGCTCAGTCCTGATCTTCGACGACTGGCACAGTTCTTCTGCACCGAGGGTGTGTGTGCCACCGCTGCGTTCCGATTTGCAGGAAGTCCGCAGGCAGTAGTATTGGCAGAGGTGGTGGCCTTTCATCGGCAGGCAGCTCCAGGAACGAGCCACGTCACCACGGTCGCTGCCTTCAGCGGCGATATCAGCGCGGTCAGCCCGCTTCGGCATACCGCGATCCTTACCTCATTACGGGAGTGGACGCAGCAGTTATCGACTGAGTGGCATCACGGTCTTGCGCGCCCCGGGTGCAACCTCATCCCAACGTACGGGACTGACTTCGACGAGATCCGCACCTCTACGCGCCAGCCGGCAGTTGTGCTCCCCACACTCATCCCCTTCCAACGCCCCCAATCATCCGCACCGCTCCTCTCGCTCCTCTCTCCACCTTCGGCCTTCCCTCTTTTTTCCCCACCTTCTAGCAATCCGATCTTCATCCTCATCTTTCCTTCTTGCTCGAGCCCCTTGCCGTCCCACTCCTCGATCCCAGTCATTGGCGGGCGTGGCGTGAGACTTTTGTCGATCTGTCTGTGTCCTTGGCCCGAGTGGAGGTGACGTGGACATGGACTGACGAGCATCGCGGGTAGATTGAGTACCTGGAGCTGCTGATTGTCCAGGCTTGGAGAACCGACCTTGAGGGCAATCTTCTCGGTTTTCTTTTCGGATCGGTGTGGCCAGACCATCGCCTGCTAATTGTCCAGGAACTCGTCGTCCCGCTCGCGCAACTGGTCGACGACCTCCCTCTCGATATTGTTTTGCAAAGTGACGAGAGTCCGGCTCCGCACGTCCTTACACGGACATTGGCTCCGTATCTACAGGGGACTGCGTGCTTGGAGGAACCGGGGCGTGAAAGCACCCTGCCGTCGCGGCAGGAGTACTTGAAGCCGTCCGGAATCATCAATCTTACCTTCTATCCGAAGCAAGATATGTCCGAGGAGGCGGTAGAAGGAGAAGAAGAGGGCGGCGCCCAAGAAGAGACGTCGGAGGAAGGGAGTTATAGTGAGCACAGCGAAGGAGAGCAGAGTGAAGAGGAAGAAGAAGAAGAAGAAGAAGAAGACGACGACGAAGAGGAGGAAGCCGGATCGGAGTGGGAAGCCTTGCCGGAAAAAGCGGCGTGCACAGGCCCAGAGGCGGAAGATCCCGAGGCGGCACGTAAGAGGGAAGAGATCGCCGCCGGGAAAAGCCAGCTGGAGTTCGCCAGCGAGGCGAACCTGCGCATCAACGACGACCCGACCCGGATCCAGAGCCCTACAAGCCCGAAGATGGCAACCTAGCAACCACGACTCCGAACGCATCACGATGGAGACGAAGCCGATCCCCCTCCCCCTCCACCTCAGCCCGTCCCCCAGTTCGTCCACGTACCGATGCGGGGGGTCGACCTTCGTCCCCGGTCATTATCCCGCCGTCCCCCTGATTACCTCACCCTCTATTAGATCTCTACCCCCGTCACCTTCACTCGCAACCCCTTCCCGCCCAATACCTTCCACCACTTCTACTCCACCCGCCTCGTCGTCACCGTGCATCCCCATCCTTCCCTTCAACGCGCAACTCCCGTCTTCTGTTTGCATGTCCTTTTGTTTAGTGCGGCTTGGGAGCAGAGCAATGCAGTAGAAGTCTACTGCGTAATCACAGGAACCATCCCCGCATGCCGCCATCACGAGCTATTTCGCGCGGCGCTCTTCCGCACTTTCTCCACTTTCTACCCTGATTACCTCACCTCCCTCCCTCACAGCGGCCATCGATTTCCCGCTTTCACCGGATCATCCGCTACGAGGAGCTTCCAGTGACAGAGGAAGGGATGAACCGCTACTTACCCCCACTTCCCTTCAACCCTCCCCATCAACACCCCTCCATGTACAATGTCTACTTTCCCATTCCCACGCGGCGCTAATACCCGCCACGTGTCGCGACGGCGGCGCATCCCACCCTTCTGAGTGTGGCGATCGACTGGAGAAATCGACACGTGGCCCCCGAGCAACACGAATCAGTAGTTTTGCGAAGATCACGCCATTGATGATGCCGTCAACACATGCTCTTATTCGACGGATTGCGCTGGACTGGGAGTGCATAGCACACAGAGACCTGATGGACCATGATGATGCCACCTGGACGATCTCCGAAGTTTGAAGGGCAGGGGGTTGCATATGACAGGACTACAGAGGATGGGATCCGAGTTGGCATGAGCCGGCATGCATCATGAAGGTCTTGCCACGGATGTTGTCGTAAGCTCATGCCCCGACTCAGTTTTCTTTGCTGACATCGATTTTGCTGATCTAAGCCTCCTACTTCTTCCTGCTTCTTCGTCTCCTCCTACTTCTTCCTGCTTCTTCGTCTCCTCCCACTTCCTTTGTTCAAGGTTTTTCAGGCAATCAGGAGATCACATAGTTTTGGAACCCCCTGCGCGTCACACATGTGACCAACCACTTCCCGACCCCGTGCTATCTTTCATACCCCTTGGCTCAATTGTTTCCTTTGCATCATACTGGCCCAACAAAGCCCCCGTCGCTTTTCTTGATTTCAGGTGCCCTATTTAGGCCCCTATTTTTCGGAGGTTCTACTGATTCTTGGAATTCTGTTTTTTTGTAATTCTGGAAATGCATGGAAAATTACGCGCGCCTTAGCGAGCGCACTGGGAATCGGGCTCAACAGTTAGGAATTCCAGAATAAGCGGAACCCCACGTGTCTTTTTCTTTGCATGAATGTTCTCGGTCACGTCGAAGAAAACTCTAGGAATTTTGTGAGAATACGGATAGGCATCATAACACAGCGTCATAAAGAGCAGAGAGGGAAAGAGAAGGGATGGGTGAGAAGTGTCGAGACACGAGACACAGGAATCCGACAAGAGAAGGTTCGGCTTCACAGCCATGAACTCACACAAAAAAAAATGATCCGCAACCATGAAGGCGCATTCGCCGTGAAATTCCAATATGGCCCTGGGCCAATCATCCACTCAACTCCAACTACCGATCCTCATACCTGCACCGACGATCCCGGCCGCCGCGTGCTAACTTTCGCCGCTGCGATCGTCACCCCGCTGACGCAAGCTCGACACGGCTCGCCCGGATCCCACAGTCCGTCATGGCGATCAAGCGCGAAACCGGCCAGCCTACAGTCAGTCTGTCAGGACTTTTCGACTCGCACCAAACGCATCACCTAGCCACTGCTTCCCGGATGCTGGCTTGCGAGTGGAAAACATAAGAGAGATTTGCGGGCGCGCTTGCGGAATTTATCGTTGCGAAAAAGAAGACAGGCGGGGGAGAAGACAGAGGGGAAATCGAGGTGTAAGAGGAGAAGATTCAGCGAGAGGTGCTCAAGGGAAGCCATGTTGATCCTTAGGAACTCAATGTTCAGCCAATCAGATTCGTCGCGCAACATGAAGATGCTCTGTCTCTCCTGTGAACCGAAGTAAACCCTTGTGATCTCCAGCGAAGAAGAACTTCTTCCGGAACTCTTCCATTAGTTTCCTTGGTAATCCCCGGATGCAAAAGAACTCAATCATCTTGTCTTGTGAACGGTGGATGCGTGTGTACAATCCCCCGATTTATTTCTGATTTGTGCACCATTGTCAATTTCGCACCTTCCACAGTGGATATATGCATAGGAATGCTTGTATGTGAGTTTTTGTGTTGATTAGACCCAAAACTCGATGGGATTTTACTCGAGAATGGAAGAGTGTTTAGATCTGTCTTTGAATACACTGCGCATGCCATCTGCCTTATACTGCACGACATCTGCAGCCAGTCTATGGGGCAACCTCGAAAAAGCCAGGCGCCTCGGATTTTTGTCGATCTGGTCTGCTGAACCTGAGTCGTGGTTTGATCCCTCGAAACTCCACCCCGATTATTGCATGGTTGTACGGACTCTGTAAGATGCTTCACTCGTGTCGAAAGGAAGGAAAATGTTAGTTAGTTTTGACGATTGTGCTTTTTGATGACGTCCTAGGGTTTCTCCAAACTCATTCCGATTGATTGACATGTGGACTAACAGGCGTACCTCGATCGGGCGCCAGCCTCCTGTATCTCCCTCGCCAACGCGCCCCTTCCCTTACAATGAGGAAAGGACACGTGTTTGCGAGTGGGACGTACGAGAAGTTGTTGCACGGATCGGCGGACGATACTACTTCCCTCCCGAAAATCGTTGTTCTGGATTCGTGGACGCGGGCTTTGTCATTGTCGATACGCACTACCCGCCTTACTAAGTACTATTGCCATTTAACGAGCTGATCATCATTCCGTGGACGGCAGTGGCGCCCCATTGGCCTCGAACCCTGTGCACTGAGTGCCAGCATTTCGATCGCTACGAATCAAAGGGCTTCCACTACTGAATACAGAGTGAAGACGAGCACAAGGAAAGAGCCACGCGGCTGAGACCCTCCACGTCGGACTCGGAACTGGCCAACGAGCGACGTCGGGACTTGATACGGAAATGGGACACGTGGAGTGTACCGAAGCCCGTCCGCTCTAAACGAAGATCCATAGCGCGGTGGGAAGTTCGACAATACTTTTTGGATTGACTCTGGATTTTTCTCTTTTCACGCCGTGCTCGAGCGCGCATTCTGCGATGCGCGAAAGCAACCGACTTACTTCATCGGGCCAACACGGGGGATTTCAGTTCTGTCTGTGTCCCCAGACTCAATTTTCCAAAAATCCTTGGGACACCCCATCTTGCTGTTTTCTTGGGCCTTCTTTCCACACCCTTAGCACTCCGAATGGAAGACAGCACAGGGCGTGAGGTTGCGCGTCACAAATGCGAACGCTCCGACCACTGCCGCTCCACCTAACTGCACAAAACCGTCACGGGGTGTATGTGGAATAGCTTGAAAGTTGATATCCATTTCCCTTTCAGATTCCCTACATATCTCCCAAAAAAAACACGCCCTGCACTCAGGGGAGGCCAAAAGCTGAATTGGCAACAAATGAGTTTCGAGCAGCCTGAACCTTGGAATAGCAAAACAGTGCAGCCTGAACTTTGGAAGAGCAACAAAGCCCATTTCAAATTTTTTTTTTCCATTTTCCATTTTTTTGTTTCCAGTCTTTTGAAATCCCAGTTCAATTTTCTTTTTTCCTTTCCCGTTTCGGAACGATTCCCTATTCTGTTGGAGTCCCAGTTCATTGTTTTTTATTTTTTCCGTTTGGCAGGAGGGTGCGTTATATTCGGAACCTGCGCCGTCGGTCCATGTGTGTGAATTCAGGGCCACACTACGAACTCTGTTGACTGCTATTTTGGAACGAACCTGGCCACGTGTCTGTGTTATATTCAGTAGAAAACGCGGTGCAAATATTCGGTCAGATTTATGAAGACAGCGCCCGCCCGTAACTTCAAAGAAAAGGAAGAGGATCAGAGGGAAACGAAGAAGGAAAAGGAGAAGGATAAATTGGAAGGTGGTTTTCAAAACTCTGGGAGCAAGATAAAGCATCCATGGTAGATTGATGGTAGGAGAAGAAAAAGGACAAGGAAATGGGGAGGTAGTTCTCAAGACCCCCCCCCCCACACAGGTTGGATGTGTGCGTGTGTGAGAGAGAGAGAGAAAGAAAGCGAGTGCGAGAGAGAGAGAAAGCGAGAAGTCAGGGCCACACTACGAACTCTGGCCCCCCCCTGAGCAAGATAAAGCATCCATGGTAGATTGATGGTAGAAGAAGAAAAAGGACAAGGAAATGGGGAGGTAGTTCTCAACAACCTTGAGATATCGTCATCGAGCTGACCGGCCCCAGGCAATTCATTAGTAGTTGGTTTTACTCATAAAGTCCCATCATCTGGATTCGAACACAGGTCTGTACTTCAACAGTTCATGGATGTACCCACTGAGCTGTGCTCTTGGGTTGGCGGATCATTATTCTTGTGGCATGCAAGGTCTCTTTATCCTGTCTTTTTTCCCTTTTTTTTTTAAAACAACACCCGAGGCGGTGCTAGTCCTTGTCTATAATCACCACAACTATATTGTTCTGCATGAGCGCATGCAGAGCATCCTGCAAACTGGCCCCGCCACACCACTCAACAATTCTGAGAAAGACAAAAGCTATGGCGGGTGTATCTTTCCACGTTCCAGCCGGAAGTACATTCTCCATCTTGCACATTTGGTGACTAGTGCAGCGAGGCCCGACCTGTGACAGGAAACAAGCCTGAGAGCCGGAGGCTATGGTCATCGCTCCACTACTCTCGAAATGCGCAAAACGAGAATGAACCTGGCGCAAGAACATGGATAGATACACCTCCACTACTCTCGAAATGTGCAAAACGTGAATGAACCTGCCGCAAGAACATGGATAGATACACAGCCCGCGCTCATGCGCGTGCGCGTGCACATGTTTGG